CGACTCAAACAGTTATTTTTTGGGTCAGATAAGGAGTTTTTGATCTAAATTCCTTCTTTGACAAATTTCGATGGGTAATATCTAAATAATATAAATATAAATTGGATAAAAATTCCCAAATAGTCGAAGCTAATGCTGAATTTCCCTTAACATTTTAAGGGAACAAATACAGATGAATCACTTGGAAAGTTACAGAGATTTAAAGCTCTCGAAAGTTTGAATTAATACTCATTTTTTTCTTTTGTTTCAAAAATTAGAAATCCCAAGTGTAATTTTTGAATTTCCACTTGGTATAGAGGTACAAACTATTCCAACATGTTCTAAGTACGATTTCTCGAGTATTATAGACCGATTCAAAGCTGTGATGATTTTGGCATGCTTCATGCTTTAATATAGTCAGCCTTTTTAATATAGGATAATCAATTAGTTGATATGTACTATAAACATTAATATCATGTTTGCCACCTGCATAGGACAAATACACTGACGTGACCTACAAATCTCGAATCAATTGATGTCCACGCTTTAGCTCTTGCACATTTGGATAAATCGTTAAAAGTACGTGACCTTCTTCGATTGTGGGGGAGGCGATTGTAAGAACTCTGATGATCAAGTTAGTCAACTTGTAGATATGTATTTGGGTGTGGAATGGATGGAAGACATGAGTCACGTTAGTGTAAGGGCACCAAAGGTAAATAGAGAATAACAACGGAGCAATATTACTATGAGTGTATAAAATTGCCTTAACTAAGTGTGAATTTTTATAGTAGAAGACATGAAATTGTTACAGTTGGATAAAAAGACATGTGGCCTCATCTTAATGGTCGAGGCTCTTTATCATAGGTGTCACTTCACCAGTCATATGTTCTAGGACATTTAATTTTGAAAAATAACCACCATATAGCCTAGACCCGACATCTGAAAAGTGGATTGACAAATTGAATGAGAGGCGCTTATTGTAGTGAGGTCATATCAATCAATCACAAAAAATCTTCTATGGGAGATCTCTTGAAAGAGGTGAAAATGGATGATGCCTTTGCATGTTGAAAGTTAGTCAATTAGAATTTACATCGACCTTTAAGGATCAACCTCTACATGGGACCTCGATTGTAGTAGTGCATCACTTCGACTTCCTATGTATGGTGACCTCAGAAAGGCAAATAGGATAATGATGTGGAGTGCATACCTGATATGATAAGCTAGCTGGCTGTCACGTAATCGATGCTTGGAGCCTCGTCAGATGAAACATAATAATAGTCATCCAAGTTCAAGTATAGATATTTATATAATGCGTAGACTTTAGGTTGAAGGTGAGTATGTTACTCGTGATATGGAGTGTGGTACGAATGTGTTGATTATTGGAAATTTGATGCATTTATTCATTCAAATGCAAAATGATTGATAGATAGTGGGGACTCCCCAACCTAGTACAAGTCATATGTACATGAAAGAATAAATTTAACAAGAGGGCCACGGTAACACAATTTGCTTCCCAAACACGAAAAGGAACAAGATGATAAGGAAAATGACTTCTTAATTTAGCAATTTTAGACAATATGGCTTATGACATAGCGTGAACGGTTGTGGGCTACTTGGTAACCGTATAATAGTCTAAGGGAAAATTAGGCCATGTACTTCTATTTCATCAAAATTTTGAAAAATCCTTCCAAACTTAAATTTTGTCACTGGACACGATTTTTTACCAAATATTCCTACGTAAATCTTTTCAAATCAAACCAACTTCATAATCCTCATTCCATTCTCCATTCCCTTTACTCCAAGATTCTCCCAGGTGCACCAAGACCCCATTGTAAACAAGATGCGTAGTAGAAAGCTGACAAATTTTGCACTATGACCATATCTCCCCTCCCACCCACCATATGCTTCCCTGCCAATATCCTCATCAAAGTCGTTTTCCGTTTTCAATCAAAAAAATGAAAAAATAAAACAATTAAATTTCTCAATTAAAAAAATAAACCAGATCCATTGGTGCCGACAAGGAAACACCGAGTTCCAACTGAGATATTAAGGTTGAAGGCCTAAAAAATGAATCATTTGATAAATGCTTTAATAACTAATTAAATAACTTAAGGACAGTAATTAATAAATTATAAAATCCAAAACCTATATAAAAAAAGTCCATATATCTTATCCACGACTCCTACTGTAAACAGCAAGCACCATTTCATCCACCTAAAACCCTCAACTTCTCGCAAAATTCATCCAAAATCATAGAGAAATTGCAAAATGTCGATGATTCCAAGCTTTTCAGCCATCGACCAAAGTTTTACGACCCATATCGTCTCCTTTTTCGACTCTTCCAACCAGATTAAAACGGTCTCTGTGTCCGAGCTGATTTCCAATAAAAGCTATTCTCTTTGCAGTTTTGAGAATGTTTACTCCCACGTGTTCCCAGAAAAATCTCCCGGGGTTCGTCAAGAAAGCTTGAGAGTTAAAGGCCAAGGGGATGGATACAATTGCGCACATTTCTGTTGATGATGAGTTTGTGATAAAAGCCTGGGAGAAGGACTTGAATATTGGCGATGAGCAGATGAGGTGGTGTTATTGAGTGATGGGAATGGGAATTTTACCAAAGCTAGGTTGCGAGCGAGATTTGAGTGATAAGCCTATAGGATTGGGAGTTATATCCACGAGGTATGCTATGTATGTGGAAGATAGGGTTGTGAAAATCTTGAATTTCATTTGGAGGAGTATGAAGCCTTCAATGTTAGGAGTGCTGAGGATATGCTCAAGGTCAATTAAGGTCCGTATTCAGAAAGTGGTAGCCATAGACTTTTATGCATTTCTTGTAATGATTAAAGTAAAAAAAGAAAGGAGGAAGATATTTATTATGTGATTCTTGGATTGGTTGTGACAGGAAATCGATCTTAAAATTGAAAGTTTTCAAGAGGACTCGTGCTGGCATTCGAGGTGGTCAGGTGACTGACGAATGATTGATTCTTGAGGATGGAATTGATAAAGAAGAGGAGATCGAAGAAGAGGAGGACATTGATAGCCAACCCAATGTTTTTGTAAAGAAAAATTCGACTCCAGTTGTTACAGAAGAAGGAAGCCCGTGAATTTCGTCAAAAGATTGTCACTTTTTTTTTTTTTAATTTTGTCACTTTTTGAGTGTGTCACTTTTTTTTGTCGTCACTTTTTTATCCGTATAGCTTCTTTTAATTCGTGCCACTTTTTTTTGAATTCGTCACTTTTTAAAAATTTATCGCTTTTTTGAGTTGTCACTCTTTTTAGTTTTTTTGCCACCTTTTAAATTTTTGTCACTTTTTAAGAAAATAAAAAAAAAAATGAAATAATATGTTATATTTTCCTAACATAATCAGTATGTGGATTGACCTGAACGTGGTGATTATTTTAAGAACATGATTACT